CTTGTATGTGACACTTGTATTTACTTGTAGGTAAATTACTATATTGCATGATTAGTAATTGCAGGTTACATTGATAGTAAATTGATATAGCATAATGTGTAGTATCATTAATTTGCCACTTTAGACATGTAATCATAGGGGCATGGTTTGTGTGGTCTCACCCTACTTGTGCTTGGTAGATAGCTTCATGCATGGTGAGTATGTAAATGTCATGGACTTGTTGATTTTTGAAAGCTTGGAAGGATATGAGATGTTTGATGGCTAGGGTTTGGCTCTAGTACGGAGGATAAGAATTCTCCTAAGGCATAGTGCGCACTAGGTAGTACCTTGCGGGTCGTAATTGCCCGGAATAACTTGTACGGTCTCGGGGCCACATATTCTAGTCTTTCCATTGTTTAATTTTGCATTAAATTCCAAATTGTAAATCATGGATTTCTTGACAATTGTGAATTGGTGCTTAAGTTTCTAAATGGCTAGTGTACTTGTGTATGCACACTTGGATGCCATGCATTTATCATTTCAAATATTTGTATAGCTTGAGATGATTCCTTATAATACCTTGAGAACATAAACGTTAGGTGGAATGCACCCTTGTGACGTTCTATGTTTGGTTTGCATTATACTTGAAACCATAGGGTATGCGCATGCACCACATCCTACAAGTAATTTGATTACTCACCCTAGTTGTTTGGGTTGTTTTTCAGGTAAAGAAACACTTTTCTTGGATGGTTGATATGTTTAGCTTATTTTGGATCATGTGTTGTGGACACACTCTTTTGGTTATCATGCAAAGTGTTTAGCATGTGCTTTGTAGTATTTTTGGTCTCAATGGACTTACGAATTATGTTTTTGGACAAATGATATGTAATGAGGCTTGAAGTCATTATAACATGATTCAATATGATATTTATGCTTGTTGATATGTTCACACGTTCATTCATCATTATAAATCAGATTTTTGACTCATGTGTGAGGGTAGAATGAATCCTATAGGTTCCATAGTATGATTTTCATGTTTAGCAGAGTTTCAGCGGGTTTTCGAGGCATTTCGGCCGACCAAAATGACATTTTGGTCGACCAGTGCCTTTTTGAATTTAAATTAAACAGTAAAGTCCAATTCCAGTAACCAAACTTACTGTTTGAGGCACAACCGATCAACCGGTTCTTTACTTCGGCCGACCGAAGCAACTTCCAATTTTTTTTAAGTCACAGTCTATTTCGGCTGACTGAAATGGCAATTCAGCCGACCTAAGCACCACAGTTACAGCTACCTTGCAGCTTGTTTAACAGCTTTGGTTTCTCTAACTTCAAACGAGTATATCTCCTTCGTTTCTAATCCACATGGGATGATTCTTGAGCCTAACTCAAAGATTTTGAGTCAGCTTCCCAACAGTACCAATGTCATTCTCAGATTCAAACCATAGTGAGGGTATTCATGTTTTAATGAGACAGTGTCGGATTTTACTTGAACCGGGAATGAGGTCTTATGGGGATTTTTAACCAATCATCTTGGAACCTCTTGTAACGTTGTCATATGATTAGTTTAGGTTGAGTGGACCTCATTTGACATACTTAGAGTTAAATCTTCTCTTTCGATTGTAACTTGACCATTTTACCCTTGGTTTAAGGATTCGTCCGTTTTGATCCTTGTTTCTTCTTTAGCTCTCCTTGAGTTCCGTGACTTCATGGGAGGTCACTTGGGCATCTTAAGGATGATGTACATCCCTAGAGACATTGGTTTTATCTTTTACTTCCGCATTTCAGATCCGTTACCAGATCAACTTTTGGGTCATCACTGATGCATTGGCTTGAAAAACAAGGGCCCTCACATTAACAAATGTGGCAGTTAACATTTACAAAGGTACCTTACATATAAATAGACATCAATGTTCTCATTTTTCTTTTATTTTTTTCGAATCAATGTTCTCATTTTACAATCTATCTTTCCGGCCTTATAATGTTACAAATATATAATTAAATAATTGTATTTTTAAGGTGTCGCTCTTTAGACACATCCAGGATCCACATTGCAGATCAATATGGACATCGACGAAGTAAACACATTAAGAAAATGGTTTGTTTTCTTCTACTAAAAATAGTTACATTCATCCATAAATTTAAATACTTTAAAGTATTCAATATATATAGTAATCATTACATACATACAAATTAAGTAATTTTGTAAACACAATCACGTACATACTACAAATGCAGTTTTTATAAAACTATATCTGGCAGTGATATAGGTGCTCTCATTATGAATTCAAGATCTAAAGCTTTTGATGGAGCCAAAAAAATTATTGAGATTATTGTCTCACTAATACTTTAAAGTATTATTGGAAAATCAACAACTACATTTATGGTATGAATCTATATACATTTGTTTTTTAGTATAGACTTTCCATCATTATTTAATTTATTATATTAGTTTTCTTATTAAATGTTTAAAAAAAAATTTATTCATACAAAAATAAAATTTACTTATCATTGTTTAGAAAACAAATTATTATTTCGAAGCAACAATTCAAGAAATTGAAAATGAAAAGAAACCATGGTACGATGCTTGTACAGAATGCAATAAGAAAGTCAAACTGCTCAACAATGGCATTGTTTGTACCAACTGTGCGCAACATAAAGAATGTAAAATGCGTTCAAAGGTATTCATTTTTTATTACGACTATTACTTTTAAAATTACATTAGTTTTAAAAACTTTATAAACGTAAATAACTTATTATTGTAATCGGTCATTATGCAGATTTGTGATGCGACCAAAAGTGACAGATACAAATGCAGAAGCAAAGATAACAGTTTTTTATGATTGTCAGTCACTAATAAATTGTTGTTTGGAAGATCTTATGCCACTATAAAATGAGGTGACAATTTGAAATCATTATTAATATTTTAATAGAAGAAAAAAATTTGTGCATTACATTATATAATATATTATATATATAATTTATAAAAGAAAAATATGGTTAGTTTTTTTTCTTATAAATATTTAAAGAAAGAAGAAACAAATGAGTTCAGCGACATTGTTAAAAGATGTGAAGGGAAGTCAATTATGTTTCTGGTGAAAATAAACAACAATGATGAATTAATTAGAGGCCTCTTCGTCGCACAAGCAGTTAAAAAAGTCGGCCGAGACAATGACACAACAGAAGAACTTAGCATTGACAATGATACAACAGAAGAACTTAGCATTGACAATGATGAGGAAAAACTCTAAATGAAGTTAAATAGACGGATAAGGTGATGAGGTGATAAATGCCGGTAACAACATAAATTCGAAAGGTAGTTTTGATCTGATAAATACGAAATTCAAATTATCGATAAAGGCTCTCCTTGAAGATTGCAACAAACTCCCAGCTCAGTCGACTATAAAAGCTAACTCTTATCAACCAAGGAGGTATGGACAATATTGAACTCCACTTCATTAATTGCATAATTAATTTTCTTCTGTAAACTGACTTAGCCATCGGAGGTTTTTTGGCAGGCACCTCACCGGTGTCAAAAGTAAACGTTGTCGTTTCGGATCGTTGCAAACTAAACCCTAAAATCAAGTGTAATCTTGATTTTATGTAATGGTAAATTTGGCATCAAAACTAATTCATCAACCCTAGCCTTCCCTTTCCTTCCATTTCCTCCCATTTTTGGGAGGTTAAGAAAATTACTATTCATGCCTTAAGTTATCCTTCTAAAACCATCCATCACCTTCCCTTTCCTTCCCACCATTTATGCCAAACATAATTTTTTAATCACTCTCCATCATCTTCCCTTTCCTTTCCTCCCTTTTCCATTGCACCAAACTGACCCTTAGTCTATGAAATTCTTCCTTCTCCATCTCTCAATAAAATTCTCTTTAACTTTTCTCTCTTCTTAAAATTAACATCTCTCTCTCTCTCTCTCTCTCTCTCATTTCTCTTCATTTTATCTCCCTCTAAGATTTGGGTCTAAATTTCTTCTTCTCCATCTCTCTGAAATTACTTTTATCTCTCTAAAAATTTATCCCTCTCTCTCTCTCTTTGGAAAGAAACAGCTAATTCAAAATTAAGATTGCACACATTAAAATCAAAACCTTAAACAGAAAAGAAAGTTGATCAAATCAGAGTTTCAAGATTGTTCGAGTAGCATGGAGATGGAGAACTTGCATAAATATAATTTTGTATTTATATATAACCCACAATGATAATGGTTATAATAAGAACAGAAAACACCTTCCTTGTACATCTCTTTCCAAGCAATTTATTTCCCCCTTGTACTTCTCTTTCCAAGCAATTTATTTCCCATTCAATGTTATCATGTGAAGTATACCACTAGGATGGTTAAAGAATGGAAAGAATCTTAGGGGCCAAATGTTACGAGGGAGAGTTTGTCTTATATTGGATCCGAATGAGAAAATAAATTAATATAAATGAGTGAGTATATAACACTATCCAATAATTTAAGTTTTGGGATAAATGGACAACCACCCACCCGTTACAATTGGTATTAGAACCAGACCCAATTTTTGATCCGGTGTCATGTCAAGCGCCCGACCAAGAGAGCGTCCGGGTCCTCGCCCCGTATAGGCAAGGTGACCCGAGCTGCAATGAAAGTGTTACGTTTTACACCAAACCACATCAAATTCGGTGAAAATATCGAGGCTAAAATTCGGTTGTCCTATCATTATTCTTGCCAAAAAAAATACCCCCTCTGTCCCATAAAAAGAGTCACGGTTCCCCAAACATGACACTTTTTATAGGTGAAAATATCGGGGCTAAAATTCGGTTGTCCTATCATTATTCTTACCAAAAAAATACCCCCTCTATCCCATAAAAAAAAGTCACGGTTCCCAAACATGACACTTTTTATGGAATAGAGGGGATATCCAATACCAAACAATTAAATGAATTTTTGTTAGATGGGGTTATGCCCTCACTTGCTCTTCTTGTACTAATTCTTCCAGTCTATTTATTAATACCAATACCTGCTTATGGAAGATAAAAATAGAAAAAAAAGATATTACCAAAAAATTATTTTTTTCATCAATTAGATTATACGACAAAAAGGCAAGGATAAAACTCATCCTTGTTACAATGTTTCCATTTTACAGATATCTCGCGAATGATTTGAAAATAATAATAATAACAACAATAACAACACAACCATAGATTTTGACTGAACCGATTTCATTATTTTTTTTGGCTCATTCCTTCTTTCATCCTTGCTCCTTCCATTTTGATGCCTTCCATCCTTGTTGCTGATTTAATATTTAGCACAGAAAACCTACTCCCACTGCTCTCCAGATGAAGCCCTAACGGCATGTCGGCATTAACCCGAACGGCTCGAGCTAGATTTTGATTCATGGAGAATGTAGTTACTCACTTCCAGAGGATCAAATCTCAGAAACTTCTTTTCTATACTTGCATTCAAATCTCTAAACCAAGTTTCTTAGCAATCTGAAGTTCACAGCATTCTGGAAGGGAAGGAACACTATTAGCAGCCTCAAACATGGAAGTGTGCCAAACAGGCTATAATGATGGCCAATGATTTTGAATCCTCAGTGTCAACATCCTAGGGCTTGTTTTAATATATTCTCATGTACAGAATCTGCAAACAAAAATACCATTCGGGATTTTAAAATATAAAAATGTGTTTAACCTCTTCAGTTGCTGAACAAGACATTCAGAACTCAACATCAAGGGTGACTGCCAGAATCTCATGATAGAAATAAACACCTATTTAATGGAAATTGTGAATCAATCATCACTTACCTTCACTTCAATAAAGCTGAAAGGAAATGGTAAAATTTGTATTGGAACATTCCATTAATCAGCCCCTTACCTGAATTCTATCAAACACGTCAGATAAATAACTAAAACTGTTTCTGTAAGTTGCTTCCAAACAGAATCACATGCATCTAATGGTGTACAGAAATACCAAATACTTACACATGATCCCCATAAGTGGCCACAGAAGGAGAAATTTTCATATTTCTTCACTCAATTCCATGGAAACTGGAACTTTAATTGCAGGTGATGGAGAGGATTGGTTGTTCTCTTTGAAAGGAAGAACCTTTCCAACATGTAAGCTGTTTATGATCCAGCTAACCGGCTGCGTAAAGTAGTCAATTTTTAATTGAAATACATAAAATTGCAAAATGAAGGTAAACCTTGACTATTAAGCGATTATGCATAAGCAAACAGGAGATTATCTTATTCACTCTTGCTCTGAAAGTTCAATTTGTTATTCTTAATCAATTGAGCTACGGAATCATATATCAATGACAATGACTGACCATCATGGGTATATTCTTTTCTGCTGCACAATGCTTCAGGTGACGTGAAGCTCTACTATCATCCTCAGCAACAATAGCCCCAACAGAGATCTTCTCAGCATCACAACTCTTGACCAACCATTGCAGAGTTTTGAACACCTGCCCACCTCCATGCTGGGCAGCCAAAAAAAAAAGGAACAAATCAGACAATAAACAAAAAAAATAAAGTACACATTAAATTAACAGTAAAGAAAAGTATAGAACTAAACTGTTGATCAAGTTAACAGTTGACAATACACTCTGACATGGTTGGTTGCTCAATGTCAGTTGTTTACACTGGAGTCATTTCGTAGCAAAACATCAACTCTACTTCAATGTCTCTTAGCAACGAAATGAATATTTCATGGTTATTAGGATTGTTCTATTTCTTTGTAATGGTATCAGCAGGTAGTAAGACAACTCAATACTGGTAACATCTTTGCATTGCCTTATGCATTAGATAAAGAAAAGTAGTGTACTAATATCCAGTTAAATTTTGAAAAGACTCAGTAAGAACTATAAACTGACATCAAGTACAAGGAGATCATTTGGTGCACTATATCTTGCATATGACCCAAGAGTCGATTGGATCGATTTCATAGATCAAATCATGATCCATCAGGACCATCACGGTTCAAGAATGTTATTGACCAGCTCCCAGTTTGACATCAACCCGCAAAAGTTCAATGCTAAGTCAAGGGTGGATTTAAGGTCGTAGGAGAGAGGCTCATCGTGAACCTCAGCAAGCACCATTGGTGGGCGGGGAACCTATCCTATCAGTTCATCAATCTGCTATATAGGACTCCAAAATCAAGTAATTAGTACAATCCCTATAGCACCCACTACTGGTACAATCCCTATATATCAAAAGTCCTTTTATCAATCATATTTACACAGAAACACCACGTAAAAATGAGAAGAAATCATCTGCGAGAAGTAATTTCTTATTCTCTCAAGGAATCCTAGTACAAAGTTTTCAATTAGATCTCTGGGGCTAAACACTACCATTAGTGCCGAACCAAGTTATGAAAAACGTACATTTCTCCACACTCAGCATGATTATATGTCAAATGTGATGCATTGAAGTCAGTGATACATTTCTCTTCGCATAATTCCTGTCTGAGACTATTTATCAGGGAAAGGTATTTTCAATATTGATAACAATCATACGCAATACCTCTCAGTGTTGGCCAATTTTCTGTTTTTTAATTCACGCCGTTGATTCCAACAGCAAGTTATCATTTACTACATATCTACCTAATTAAATGAGATCACAAAAATTGAAGTATATCTTAAAAGACTAGGCACAAAAAAAAAGGTACAATTAACAGACAATTTTTAACACAAAAACAACTTGGTTACCTGCAAATTACACAACTTATATAATGTGCACAAAAGGTAGCTATCAGACAATACTCATACCAGACAAATATGTAATTGACATGTCATATACCAAAAAAAAAAAACCATGAGTTTGAGAATTAACCAGAATACCTGTATTGGCAATCTAGGAGAATAGATGTTTAATGACTATTAAGCACAATGTTCTATTTAAATTGAGAGAAAACAAAAATTAATAGGGATCTATTCATGTTTTGTCTTCAATTATTATTATTATTATTATTTATTTTATTATCTTTGATTTGAATTTAACTTGGAGAAAACTCTTCTTGATGGTACAGATTAATTCACTCGGGAAAGTTCAATTTTCCCTTGTGCAGCAAGTTATACGAAAGCCCTTGATCTCTATAATCATAAAAGTCCATGGATTCATCCATGAGCTAGAATAGATCATACAAAACACAGAAGAAGTAATTTCTGTGATGGAGATTGCATCGGCAGATGGATAGTGATGACTTGATCATGATGCACCTCTAGTTTTGGAAGACAATCAAAACCCTAGCCTTAGAAAATTTGATAAGATTTACTTGTCAAAAAAAAAGAAAAAAAATTTGATAAGATTGAAAATTCATTGTTATGTAGCAGATTCCTTGCAACCATTGAGTAAAAGTAGTTGATCAAATTCAGGAAAAAAAACAAAAGGCAGTTCATCAAAGATAAGATCACAAAGCAGATTGCTTGACTGTTAAGAAATAAGCCCCAAACACCATGAAATTTCCAGGTAAACTTAGCCTCCAAAAACGTCGAAGGTCGTTAACCATTCATCATTTCTCGATCAAGTTTGCATGCTAACAACTGTACCTAGTCTCAAAAAAGTCACCAGGCAAGTTCAGAAGGCCCAAAATGTTCAAAAACACATTAGCTTAGATAGCAACATTTCAGGTACCAGGACAGCATGTATTGATAATTATCACGACAATCCAAATAACAATTAAAATACCCAGCTTGTACAAAACTATGGTTGTCTTCGAGTTAAAAGACAAAAGGTTGAGGTAACATCTGATTCAGGATCAATTTCAGCAATTTTACAAGCTAAGCAAGGAAAATCAATGTAGTCTCATGATAAACCTTCTTGATGACTTGTAACCACTAACTACTGAAGTTGTGGGCATTTCCCTATTGTAGATGCTTCTGGTGGCATGAATTTGTAATGAGAACAGAAGAGAATTAGCCATACAGATTAAAAATAACTTCTGTACTTCCTAAAAATCAACATCTTTTGGTGTCGAATATCCAAGTCTGATTGGACTGTAAAATCAATACTAGAGTGGTAGTGAAATCAACTTATCAAAGTCTTACCCAACTAATACAATTAGACTAAACACAATTCTTGCACTATTTTGCTCCAAGTAAGGCACCTTTTAAAGGAGAGCATTGTGTAGAAAATTATAGATAGAGACATATAAATAAAGAAAAGAGATTGAAGACAAATGATGTCCACTATATAAAGAAGTATAAAGCCAGGAATTGCTATTACTTCCATCCAAACTATATTTAAGTTGATATTAAATCAAACCACATGAAAATGACTTGGTGCATCAACGCACATCCACTCTCCATAAAATTCCTTACTCGCCCTCAAAAAGTATGCAGAATTAGATCTCACAACTTTCAGTAATTAATTGAAACAGTAATACACAATTTTATCAATACAACCCAATGGATTAAGAAATAAAGACCTAACAGTTCATTTTTCTCATATATGTTTTAATTTCACCCAACAGTAGATTGTAAATATCTCTACTTTTATCAGTTATGGGTTCAAACCATCTACAAAAAAATTCCTTAAAAAGTCGAATAAACTCTGTATCCTATGAATGACCTTCTCACAAACTCATTAGAACTGCATAAACAGGAATGAATTGCTGCATCTTTGTTACCTCATTTGGAAACAACATTATGAGGGTCAGAGAAGGTCTTCTGAACAGAAAGTTTCAACAATTAATAGAAGTATGTTAACCAAGAAGTCCACTACCTTGACAACCTTTGCCAATCTAAGGCAGAAAATGGGTTTGCCATGAAGCATGATTCCTACTCCGTCAAAGATATAGTGATGGTTATTGCCACAAAGTGGCTTCCCTATTCCAGTACACTTTCCACCATCATACCTTGATAGAATCACATACCTGCCATTCGACCAAAAAATAAATAAAGCAACACTTAAAGTGAAAGCCCATAGGAGACATAGCAATGGCTAGAGAAGCTAATAATCTATAGACAAAAATTAGAATGTGATGTCCTGAAGAAAAATATTTGCCTCAATATGTTCAACATAGCATATGAAGATGGAGATCCACATGAAGACAGGAGTCATTGCAAACAACGGAAGTAAGTGCCTTAAAACATCGAAAAATTGAAAATTGAAAATTGAAATGCACATAAAAAATTCCATTTAGTATCATAAAGGATGGGGACGGAAGGGTGGAGGAAGATATGGTATGAGGGCATACGAGAGTAACAAGACATCAGAATGAGTAAGTGATAACGGTATACTTTATTTTAGAATTCATTTTTGGAGCTCTTGCATAGACAGGAGGTTGTCGGTGGAGGTCCGGATTCCCTTGTTAGGGTGCCTTCTTCTCACGGAAGGTTTGCTTTGAGTTTTCTGTTTAGATGTCTTTCAGATTTTTCCAGGCCTGCTTTTCTGTGGAAGGTCGTGTGGCGATCCAAGGCTCCGCTCAAGGTGCCCATATGTCTTTGGTGGTGTTTGTGGAGGAAGGGGAATAGAAGATCCTTTGAAGGAGAGGAATCTTCAATTGGTGTTCTAAAATATTTTTATCATTAGCTCTCTCTTTTGTTGGGTTTTGGGTAGATATTGTACTTCTTTAGTCGAGACAGTTGATTTTTTGGGCTCCTTGGGTCCTTAGGGTCCCTTGCGGCCTTTGTGTAGTTCTTGGGATGCATTCCCCTTTTGCATGCTTTCTAATACATTTTTACTTATAAAAATAAAATAAAAAGCCTCATATTATCGAGCCTTTTCTCTAAAAATGAAATAACCAAGATTTTTAAGTTCCAGCCTTAAATCCGAGTACCTCGCTTATAGCCTTAGATCCCCACCCACATTTCATGCATTGTATCGAAAGAAGCATGGATACAGACACGGCAAGGATACACCTCTAAAATAATAATATATTATATTTTGTACACAAATTGAAATGTCCATAGGACTTGGTTCGCTAAATTTGTACAAAATGGAGTATATATATTTAATTCTAGTTTTTGTTCATGATTTTAAAAAATAGCTAAGTTAGGTAGTTGAGTTACCTATGTCCAAGAACAATGGAGAATACAAAGCATCAACAAGGGCACAAAAGTAAATTCAAATTTGTGCACACCAAATTAGGGTTCATATGCATGCATTTGTTTAACAAGCTAGGGTATTCAATTTGCATGTTTTGATCATTAAAATTGTTTTTTGAATGCATTAAAGTGATTCTGAAACAAAAATCCTAAAGGAACTAGGATGGGGGAGTCGAAAGACCGCTTGAAACTCACTGGACTAGGTTCAATCGTCGAACCTGTCTTGGATTGCTTGAAGCCTGTGAAAAGGAAGTTTTGAGAATAGATTCAAACTCTAATCTTATCTCTTTTTTTATAAGTAAAATTCATTAAAGGCACTCAAAAAAAAAAAAAAAAAACTCTGATCTTATCAACCTCAAAGCTATATAAAAAGACCCTATGCCTTGAGAAAAGATCATCAAGCATACTTCAAGCATTCCATAGGAAAATTTAGGTGCATCCTAGCAATCTCGTTGCTAGTACTCAGTTTCTTGCTCGCTATTTCCCTCATTGGCTCCGCTCCAACATCAATTTCCACACAACCTAAGTTGATTGAGCAACTAGTTATGGAGATCGAGGCATGGATTGAAGAGAAGATTCATTGACTGAAAGCAACAAAGTTCTAGGAGAATGTCTGCTATGAGTTTGCCTTAGACGTAACCAGGTGATTCAAGCATTAAACTCACTAGACTAGATTCAATCATCGAACCTGTTTTGGATTGCTCAAAGCCTGCGAAATGGCAATTCCGAAAATAGATTCAAACTCTAATCATTCAGCCTGCAAGCTCTATACTAAGACCCTATGCCTTAAGAAAATGTCATCAAGCAAACTTTGGGCATTCCATAGTAGTGAAAGGAAAATTTGAGTGCATCCTAGCAATCCAGTTGCTAGTACTTTGTTTCTTGCTTTCATCATGATGGTGAGTGTTTTTGCTTGTTGATCATATAATCCCAGAGCTATAACAAGTTCAATACTTCAACAACTTCCACACATCCTGAGATGATTGGACAACTAGTTATGGAGATCAAAACATGGATTAAAGGATCGCGTGAGTATTATAATCATTGACTGACAGCAACAGAGTTCTAGGAGAACGTTTGGTGTGAGTTAAAGTTAAAGGTAACTGAGTGATTCTAGGTTTAGAGTTTGAAACGTAGATCCGTAATTCTTTCTTATAATAGTGGATTTGATTTTTCTGGACTAAGTCCCCTGGCTTTTCCTTTAGATGTTTTCACGTAAAAATTGGTACTCCTGTGTGGATGCTTTTTATGCTTGCTATTCTGCACCATGCCTATTTTTACACGCTAAACTTGTTATAATTTAAATTTTGGTTATTCAGGCCATGGTGATTTAACTGTTAGCGCCTAGGGTTACGGTCCTATCCCTCAATTGGTATCAGAGGATACCAATTGTGGATTTTTCAAGAATTATTATGGGGAGCATGTTTCATGAAGTGTATGTAGGACACTTACGCAGCGACTTGTTCATTTTTGAGTCATGTAGTTCGTGTCCTGCATAGTAGCACCACCTAGGAGAATTGCTATTAATATTTCCCAGTGTTGTGGCTTCGATAAGTGTACTTCTAAATACTGATAACAATTAATTTGTTACAAGAAAATAAGAAATCTATGGGACTATTTTCAGGCTTATTTAATCTATGAAGGAGTATATGATTATTGATTACTCAGCAAGAGGGTACTCATTTCACTGTGGCTAACTGCAAAAATAAGGAACTAAACCTAATTACTTTTCAAGTTCTCCACTTTTGGAGATACATGTCTAATTTATACCTCATGAGAGAGGGAGAGAGAGAAAGAGAGAATGCCCAAAAGCGCCCATCCAAAACGCCCCAATTTTATTTTTTATTTTTTATTTTGATAAGTAAAGATTGTATAAAAAGAGTTCAAAAGGGGAAAGCATCCCTCAAAAGCTACACAATTTTTTTTTTTTTTTGATGCGTAAAAAATTGGGTTATAGATTCACTGAAGTGGGTAGCCTTAACTGGATGTGTTAACAGGTAAGCCCAAAAGTTGTTCCCTGTCAGGGGAGATGCCAACCATCTCTCCTTTCTACGAACACCATCCCTCAAAAGCTACACAAGGCCAAATAAGGCCCTAAACCCTCAAAGAGTCCAAAAGATCTACCGGCTCCTCCATAGATTTACACTTTCTCCCTAGAACCCAACAAAATGGGGTACTAATAATGGAGAACTTCAATTTTCCTATAGTATTCTCCTTTCCTTTGAAGGATCTTCTACTTCTTTGAAGTCATAAACATCACCAGTCGCACAAAGGCGTAACCCTCCAGAAATCACAAACTTGGGCCCCCACTATACAACCTCTCCAAGCCTTAACCATGTCTCTGGAAGAGTTGGGCATAACCCACTGAAACCCAAACAAACCCAACAACAAAATCCAACAATCCCGAGCCACTGGACAATGCAAAAGAAGGTGATCAACCGTTTCTTCATCATTCTTGCACATGTAACACCAATTGATCAAAAATCTGTTTCGTCCTCAGGTTATCCTGGGTCAAGATCTTCCCCAAATTAAAAATCCACTCAAAGAACGCCAATTTGAGAGGAGCCTTCGAATGCCAAATAACCCTCCATGGAAAGGGCGGCCCTGGGGCATCCGAAAGACACCAATAAAAAGACCTAGCATCAAAGCGACTCTGAGAAGTGGGAACCAAAGGTCAGAAACCTCAATCACAATCTCTTGGCGATAAATCAGCTCCAAAAACCAAAAGCATCCTCAATCTCCCAATCCTGAAAATTCTTCTAGAAAAGCATCCTCAATCTCTCAATTTTCTTGCCCTTAATTAACAACTTGCACCACTCCCCATGAACTCAGTTGTGAAAACATAATTTCCACAACCCATCCAAACTCTCACCTATCACAACTTTAATCTCTCCCCTTGCAAATAGTCAAATACACATATTTGTCCAACAAAACAAAAATATAAAGATATAGAGAAATAAAAACCCTAATTTGAGTAGGGAGGAGAAAAGAAATGAAAACCTAACCCTAGAACTTAAAAGACTAAAAGGTTGGAAAAACCTCTTGTAATCTTAGATATTATGTGGTTCTTCTTCCTCTCCCTTTCTTCTTTTCCTTCTCTTTTTCTTCTTCGTGCTGCTCCTCCTCCTCTTCTTCTCTCTGCCGCCTTCTATGTTTTGAAGTTTGAAGGTTAAGCCGAGAAAACAGCCTTGAATGAACCATGTTGGGAATGATGGCCTCTTAAGCCCTTTTTTATTTTATTTCCCTTTAAACCAGAAGGTTTCTAGAATTACATATGAGACTCTACTTTTCAGAAAAAATATTTACAAAGATAACCAATGTATCTTTGGCGTATCCCATACCTTGTTGTAGGGGTGACCACGGATAGGATCGAATCAGGCATCAAACTAATACAATCTGATCCCAATGGATTGGTGAAAATTGAAACCAATACGATCCATGGGAGGCTCAATCCAAACCGATCCAATCCGTGAAATATCGGATTGGGTTGGATCGGTTCTACAGATTAGGTTTTTTTAAACAACCCAATATTTAAGAAATTGAGAAAATTTTCCTTCTCCTTTCCTTTTGCTCGTTATTTTTTTCTTTAAAAAGAAAAGAAAACCAAACATGCGATAAACTATTTCCTTCTCTCCATTCCTTTTATTTCATCCAACCACCTCAACTATAGGCACTTAAGTTTTAAGATGAAGTTCTGGGTCATGGCTTTTTATAAGCCTCATGGTTGATAGTTTCTGATGATAGCTAATCATCTTTTAACAACAAAATGGTCTTAACTCAAAATTTATGATATGTAAAAGTAAACATCCTGATGCCAATATTAAAACCCTTATTAATACATTAAGATTCAAGCTATTTATATCAATACATTATATATATATATATATATATATATATATATATATATATATAATGTATTGATATAAATAGCTTGAATCTTAATGTATTAATAAGGGTTTTAATATTGGCATCAGGATGTTTACTTTTACATATCATAAATTTTGAGTTAAGACCATTTTGTTGTTAAAAGATGATTAGCTATCATCAGAAACTATCAACCATGAGGCTTATAAAAAGCCATGTTGAGGTGGTTGGACGGATCAATTCAGATTTTAAAGGCCCTAATACGTTAACCGAATCGATCCTGCGGATTTCTAATTCATACCCAAAGCGTGGGGCTAAAAAACTGATCCGTGTGGACACAGATCAGATTGGATCGAATCAGATCAGATTCATGGATTGGCGGATCAAATGAACACCCTGCTTTTTTGTATTCTGGATACTTGTGCGACATATCAGACACATGTCCAATATGGCCACAACAATCCTTGAGATCTTTTGTAGATTGTATTATTTATGAACTCATATCACCTATGAAAAAAGGCCCTGGTATGAGCATCAAAATTCCCTCTCATTCCCCCAATTATAATATTTTTCCCATAGTGGCGTTTCTTGTTGAGAATGCATTGCCCATGTGTACTGACAGTACTGCCTCTGTTTATGACACTTTTTGCTTCTATTTAGCAAATTTCAAGCTTACTGACGCCATTTCTCTCCATTTATTTTTTTGTCCTAAAATTTCTAGCATCAACAACTTTTCAAGCTCTAAGAAATTAACTACAAGGCAATCAAGATAAAAGCTTCATTTTTTACTGATTTGCAGTTAATAATTAGCTGCAAGAAAGTCTGAGAAGCAATACAAAAGTAGAACTACATTTTACACTCATGAAAAGTAGGATTAATGAATTCCAGCAGAAAACGTCTGAACACAGGGCATATATAGAAAACATACTTCTCAGGTGGTAAGACAGAACCCGCAGCAATTGAATCGGTAAGCCAATTAACTTTCAGAATGGAGGCATTCACTGCACAGCCATACAGGAACTTGGTGGTCTGTAGCTGATAAAATGTGAAAAATCCGTCCAAAATTACAGACCAGTCATTGACCAGATAAAAATGAAAATTGAAAATAACAAAATGCAACAGACATTGCCCACAAGGAGAGACAACAGCATTATAGATTCAAAACATTAAAACCAGTAATTATGCAATCCAAATCCACAGAACAACAACCTTACATGAATTATATACTTCCAAACCAACCAAAGTACCATCTCAGGGTCAAAGTTTGACAACTTCTGAGACCTTCTCAAATGTCTGAGTTTTATATTAGTTTAGACATTAACAAATTCATTGAATTATCAGCATGAACTAAGTAATACAAAATTAAACATGCACTCCCCCAGAAAAATATGAACAAATACTAATTAAAATAAAGGCAGACAGTCAAATCAGTTTTGAAGTGTAATGACAGCATAATTCTATATCCATAACAAAAAAAAAGAAGTATGTTAGTATGACTATATCAGCCGCACCATAGATCAGTCTAAAACACCTATGAAATGCGATCGTCATGCAATGAAAACCCCGAGGGAACTAACAGGGCCTAGACGCACCCCATAGGACATATTTGAACCATAAAATAGCTGTAACAAATGGTAGAATGAAGAAACGAATCAATCCATGTTGATTTCATCCAGTCCTGAATGTACAGATGGATCAGCATGATATCATTGTGCAGATGCTTATGTCAGCACACTTGTGACGATTTTTAAAAAGCTCCAAAATGTTCTGATGGCCTTGGAACTCCAATTAGATGCTCAGATACTAAGTTGGAATGTGATATGAATTGAGATTAGGGTCGGAGGAATGAGAGAGAGAGAGAGAGAGAGACTTAAAAGGACTAAAGAGAATGGTAAATTTTCTCATCTCTACAACCACATATACTTTTATTACTAAATAACTGATAATTACGATAATGCCCCACCCTAGAATATATCAGCGGATTTCCATTCATGATCCCAAGCATAGACCCAGTACCTAGTTGACCTATATTATCTAGTGAACAACCATCAACATTTATTCCGACCTTCCCCCATTAAAGATGATTTTAAGACTTATGGCCACTTTACTTTTAGCTCAGGAGAGTTCTGTTTTGGAAGTGCCTTTCTCTAAAGAGGAAGTTTTTTCTGCTTTGAAGAGCTGCAACGGGGATAAAGCCCCAGGTCCAGATGGTTTTTCCATGAGATTCCTTTTGGAATGCTGGGAGGTGGTCCGAGAGGATGTTATGGGCTCTTTTCACGCTTTCATTCTCATGGCTCTTTTGAGAAGAGTTTGAATGCCACTTTCATTGCCCTTATTCCCAAAAAGGGAGGGGCGCTGGATGTTAGGGATTTTCGTCCTATTTGTTTGGTGGGATGTTTTTACAAGTTGATTGCTAAAGTTTTGGCTTCTAGGCTAAGGAAGGTCCTGGATGGCATCATCTCTGATTCTCATAATGCTTTTGTGGGGGGCCATCAGATTTTGGACTCTGTTCTTATTGCCAGTGAATGTGTGGACTCCAGGTTGAGCAGTGGGGTTCCGGGTGTTTTATGCAAGCTGGACATTGAGCAGGCGTACGACCATGTGAGTTGGAGTTTCCTCCTCTACTTGATGGAGAGGATGGGGTTCAAGGGGAGATGGAGGAGATGGATTCTTTTCTGTATCTCTAGTGTGCACTTCTCTGTCCTTGTGAATGGAGCTCCAACGGGGTTTTTCTCTAGTTCGAGGGGATTGAGACAGGGGGATACGCTCTCTCCTTTCCTTTTTCTTTTGGTGATGGAGGCGCTTAGCAGGTTGTTGAAAAGGGCTGTTGAGTTAGGTTTGTTGAGAGGCTTTCTGATGGGTAGAGATGTCGCTTGTTAGTTGGAGATTTCTCATTTGATGTTTGCGGATGATACCTTGGTTCTTTGTGATGCTGACGCGTCCCAAATGAGACTTGAGATGCGTTTTGATTTGGTTCCAAGTTGTCTTTGGGCTTAAGGTGAATGTCGGAAAAAGTGTTTTAGTGCCGATTGGGGATGTTCCTGATATCGAGATGTTTGCTAAGATCCTTGGATGTCGCACTGGCTCTTTTCCCATTTCTTACTTACGCTTACCTCTGGGTGCTCCTTCGAGATGTGTGGGGAGTTGGGATCCGGTGGTGGATAGATTTGAGAAGAGGCTGGCGGTTGGAAGAAGCAGTACCTCTCCAAAGTGGGACGGGTCACTCTGATTAAGAGCACTCTCTCTTGCCTTCCCACCTATTTCATCTCTCTTTTTCAGATTCCTTCTTCGGTGGCTGAAAGAATTGAGAGTCTGCAGCATAATTTTCTTTGGGGGGGGTTGGGGGGGGGGGGGGGGGAGAGGAGTTCAAGTACCATCTGGTTCGTTGAGAGCAAGTGTGTTGTCCTTTTCGGAGTGGAGGTTTAGGAATTAAAAGGTCATTGCCTTTCAATAGGGCTCTGCTTGGGAAATGGCTCTGGAGATTTGGGGTTGAGAGGCAGTGGCTTTAGAGGAAAGTTATTGCCAGCAAGTTTAGGGAAAGCAGTGGTGGATGGTGTTCCCTTGAGGTGCGTGGTCCTAGGGGTGTAGGGGTTTGGACTTGCATTCGAAAGGGATGGGATGTTTTTTGCAAGCATGTTCGTTTTCAGATCAGGGATGGTAGGAGGATCAGATTTTGGGAAGACCTTTGGTGCGGGGAGCTTCCCCTTGCTCTTTCTGTCCCACGGCTTTACAGGATTCCTTCTGATAGACAGGCCTTGGTGGTTGACTGTTATCATCTTGATAACGGAAGACTAACTTGGGATGTTCAGTTTAGAAGGCATTTTCAGGATTGGGAGATTGAGGAGGTCACTCGTTTTTTGGAGTTAATGTATCGTGAGGTGATTTCTCATGAGGAGTCTGATTGTTGGCTTTGAAGTCCTCATTCTAAGGGTCGTTTCGAGGTGAGGTCCTCTTTCAGGTGCCTTACTGTTGGCAATGGTGGTCCTTTTCCCTTGGAAGGCTATTTGGCGCTCCAAGGCTCCCCTTAAGGTGGCTTTCTTTGCTTGGACTTCTGTCTTGGGTAGGATTTTAACCCAGGATAATTTGAGGAGGAGGAATCAGGTAGTTATTAATCGTTGTTACTTGTGTCGGGGCGATGAGGAGACAGTGGATCACCTTCTGTTACATTGCAGTATGGCCAGAGATTGTTGGGATTTGATGATTGGATTATTTGGGGTCCCATGGGTTATGCCCTGTACCTCTAGAGAGTTAATTGAGGCTTGGAGAGGTGTCTCAGTTGGGGCCCTCATTCGGGATGCTTGGAGGGCTACCCCTCTCTGTATTTGGTGGTGCATTTGGCTCGAAAGAAATCGGAAATATTTCGATGGCAAGGAGAAACCTATGCCTATGTTTAAGTTCTCCATTATTTCCACTCTTTTTTGTTGGGTCTCAGGGAGAGACTATCGTTCTGTTGAGGAGATTGTTTTTTTTTTTTTTGGCCTCTTTGAAGGCTTGAGGCGTTTTGTGGCCTTTTGTTTTCATAGGATTCGATCCCCTTTTGAGCGCTTTTTTATAAAATTCTTACTTATCAAAAAAAAAAAGAATAAAATCCTACATATCTCTTATAAGAAAGAGAAAAAGTTCTGCTTCCTCATCTAAATTGATTATAACCATTTGTATTGATGACCCTGTATAGACATAAACTGTTTATTGTAAAGGCCAAGACCTAAATAAATGAATGCCATCTCATTTTCAAGGCAGCAATATTTTGGCAGTTGTAGTACTCTTTTAAATTAAAAACATATTATCAAAGAGCATTCCCAGGACCATGAGAAGGAATGTTGTAACCCCAAACACAAAGCAAAGAAATGAGCCAAAGGATACCAAATCAAGCTTGAACTTATGCAGTTATGCCCCCACGTCCAAGGTATAGACCCAACTTGAGGAAGTGGCCGTCATCTTAATGGGTTGGAGGATGTTGAATTAAATCAAGCAATAAAGAGCTCTCAGCGGTATTTGAAGGGAGCTCAGAGCTCTCTAGAATAGGGCATTGAGGTAATCCACCAGGCCGACGCTGGGGTGTATGTTCAACTAGAGCTAAACACTATTAGATAGCAACTGGAAAGTGCATTCTAATCTACATCAATGCAAGAATGTGATTACCATGGAAGCTGGCGTCTTGTGTATTCCTTGGGAGTGCTTCCCTCTTGAGCGCTTTGTTTTAATGAAATCTTACTTATCAAAAAAACAAAAAAAACATAGACTCCATGTCCCAAAGCCCAATAGTATGATGGGTCTAGAGAAGCTAGCGCTAGGGAGCTTTACAACCAGTGTTATTAAAGGCTCAAGACGCACCAAGGCGCTAGAGGTCCTTTGGAACCTAGGCACGAGGCGCACGGTGAGGGGCGCGCCTGAGTGAAGTGAGGCGGACAATTGAAATTCTAAACTACCATAAAAGCATTCATATCTCATAAGTCGTATCAATATTCTAAAAAATTAATATCAAATATAAAAAAGTAAATCCATCAACCATATAAGCATAAACCATAAAAATAAAGCACAAATTTGTTTTCTTAAAAGGCAAAACAGAATTTGTTTTTTTGAACGGAAAAACAGGGCACAAAAAGAAATAAATCTATTAACAAAAAAAAAAAAAAAAAAAGATGCAAAGACAAAAGAAGTAGATGAAGTGAGATAAGTAGATGAGAAGAGAGAGAAAGTGTGAAGAAAAAGGTAGGAAAAACAGAGCCCAAAAAAAAAGAAAAAGGCAGACAGAGAGAAGAGAACTAGATGAAGAGAGAGAAGTAAGCAAAGATGAGAGGAGAGAGAAGTAGAGGAGAAGAGAGAGAAGAAAGAACTGACATGGCTTCATCGTTTGTCTCTGCAACTAGGGCTTTGTCGTTGGTCTTGTAGTCTCACTCTTTCTATGTTCACACTTTGACTCTTGTCCTTTCTTATTTGTTTATTCTTTTGAACAAAAGTTCCTTCTTTCAGAAGCTTAGGCTTTCTTATTAGTTTATTAAGTTTCCAAAAGTACCCTTTTTGGCTTAAGAAATAGAATAATTATTTTTTAAAAAAAAAACAATGAGGCGCGCCTAGGCACAACCTAACAAATAGGATGACGCACAACTGAGGCGCGCGCCTAGTAAACATCAGTGAGCCTGAGATGACAACAGGCGCTAGACCTGTGCCTCGAGCCTAGGCGCGCCTAGGCGCGCGCTCAGGCGCGCCTTTAACAACACTGTTTACAACTTCCTATGGAAGTGGAAGAAGCATTTTGACGCAATGATCAAGTAATAAAGGGCTCACAGCAATGTTTGACAGGAGCTCAAAGCTCTTAAATCTGCCAGGCCAACCCTTGGGCGTATGTTCAACTAGAGCTAAGCACTATCATATAGCAACTAGAAAGTTCATTCTAATCTAGATCTATACAAGAAGGTGATTAGCATGGAGGCTGTTTTTACACGTGGAAAACGTAGACTCCATGTCCCAAAGCTCAATAGTATGATGGGTCTAGAGATGCTACGCTAGGAAGCTTTAAAACTTACTGCGGAAGTTGAAGCAGAATTTTGAGGCAATCACTATAGCAAACGAGCCCCTGAAAATTAACCTAGTGACCATCAATATTAAGACTCTTTGAAAGCGTCAGAGGCATGTTGGCGTAAATAAAGGCAAGTGCACCATTGAGTTTGGATTAATTCAAGAGGGAATTCAAGAAGCATTTCTTGGGATGTTCTCTAATGTGTAAAAGAGTAAAAGAGATCTGCATGTCAATAAAGAACATGAAGTGCAAGAAATATTTAGGAAGAACTTTCTAGTTGGAAAAGTATATCATAAAGTCCTAATTGCTGACTCATCCATACAATTTTTGGAATCTATAGAATCCAAGTCAGTGGAATTAAGGATGCTTAGAAAATAATACTTTTTTTTTTCTTTATACTCCATGTCAGCATAGTTAACAATGCTTAGCTATGACATTTACCCTGGAGTTTTTGTAAATGGTATGAAAACGTAAAGGTGAAAGATCAGCATATGAAAACAAAGGTCAATTTGGGAAAATGTTTTTGTATCCATGCAGTAGCATATATATACAGGTTCAGCACCCTTTTTTTTTTTTAATTGTTATACCCACCTGGAAAATTGACAAAACAGGGCAAGAAAATTGAACTCATTTGACTAATTCTTTACAATTAACCCAATAATTCTAGTTCGGGCATGACAAGTTTCAGAGACATACACCATGTCAAAGGATAAGGAAACTCAAAAGTAAACAGAGAAGTTTTTAGTTTTCAGGAACCAACCTTTTTGAAACATAGAACAACAGGAAGCTGCTGATGATTGAATTTCGAATTTTTTTTCCCCCTTGGATTTGGAGAAGGAATATCAGAGAGAACTATACCACCATATTTCCTAATTAGACCCTCTATTTCCTTTTCCTTATGACCAGAGAGTCCTGTAAGCAAGAATTCCATATTTTGAAATATCAATATCTTCCCATCCTTGTTCAGACAATTTGTTCGACCTCTTTTTGCTTCTTGATCTCTAAATTTAGAGTGCAGATTGGAATATTTCAACCTTTTACCAGTCCTGGTAGTTGAGCCTACATAAATTTAAACAATGTTACACAATTGGGTATAACCCTCACAAGGTATAAGAATTTAGAAGTCAAATAAAACACCAGTATTTTTAAGTCTTGCCCTTTCTGTACACGTATTGAAGCTTTTGAAGGCTCTTCTTCTGCATAAGCTTAATATCAGCGTCAAGGAAACGAACTCGCTTTCGTGCTGGAATTTCATTATCACGGAGAATTTTGCGTTTAGACTGCCTATTTTGGATGCTCTTTCTCTGCAGAAGCCAAAAATCACTTTCTGGTACCTTAGTCCATTCTAAATTTTCCTCTCCACTGAAACCGTGTAAAATATGTTTAGAATCCTGAAATTGACAGCATGTTCCTCCTTTTAAAATAAAAGGCGAGTTCCCTTCTTTCTGCATATGAACCTGTAATGCAGCCCCATCTTTTGCAGTTTCATCTTGATTTATCTTCTGATTTGTTAAATCTGTAACTGGATTCTCATGATTTTCCTCAACCCTTCTTGCAGTAGTACACTTAAGTATAGACTTGAAAGATGGTGATCCTGTTGAACCCTTCTTGCAGACCATATTTTGCTCAGAGGAAAGCAATCCCATGCAGTTTAATTGGAATGATCTACTATGATAAATATTTTCCGTCTCCTGAAAGTCATCACATCTAGGAAACAGCATGCTAAACGTTCTAAGTGAGGCCAATTGCCTGTGAACTGTGATCTGAGAGCCTTCACCATTAATCTTTGGGACTACTTTCCCTTTCCCATGAACAAACTCAACATTTAGACTTGAGGTCCTCTGCATATTCTCAAAACGAAGTTCTGCCACAGGGCTGAAGCACTTTTCAGCATCAACATTGTTATTTGGATTCTGAGCTATAGTGGAACAGGGTGATGAGATACTGCATGGGACAACTGAACAAAGAGGATCAATCAAGGATAAACTAGAAGATCTCACAACATCCTGTGAAAGCAATATATCCTCATTAGTTCTATTACATAAATCTTCAAAAGCTATGCTTGGCTGAGAGGTCATGTTGGACCCTTTATCTTGTTTCTGCACAAAAGAGTTCTCATCTGGGGCAAAATCAGCAGATTCCGACAGATAGCTTTTCTCACCAACAAAAAATTCAGGGATACTTTTAGCATTATTATGTTCCATTGGTGCAGAAGCATTTAAATCCTTCTGGGGAAAGAAAATTAATGGAAAAATAAAATTTTATCAGAAAAATGAAATTAATGAAAGAAATTATTAAATGAAAGATCTAAATATAAGGATTTAACTGAGAATCGTGTTTGGATTATGCAAAGTGCTAACATATTTTGTGCATAAATAAATTGATGGTGTTCAAGTGTAGGCGTATTTTATGAATAAACATTTTGTTAGCGTTCAGGGTTTAAATATTAAAGTTACACCTTCTTTAACAGCTTAAGCTTTTAGAGTAGATGGTTGTTAACATGGTATCAGTGCAGGCAAGGTCATGTGTTCAAACCTCACCGTCACCCTCACAATTAAAATTGAAACACATGTTAGACCAGAAGAAGGCCACACATGAGGGGCATGGTGAAGGATTTAAATATTACAGTTACACCTCCTCTAATAGCTTAAGCTTTTAGAGTAGATGGTTTTTAGGGAAAAGTTAATTACACTTCGATTGAGGATTGAAGATGAAGGCAAAATTGCATCAATTGGATCCTTCAAGAGGTTCTTGATCACACATTTTAGGAATGGCAAGTGATTTTGAAACTTAGGATATTAGTAGGTTAATTACTAGCTTACATTGCCTGAAAATCCCTATTAACTTAAAAGTTTGGATGAGCATGTTTAGAATTGATGAGGAAGCTTGGGATACGAAGGGTTAACTGCAAAAAAAAACACCCCTCAACTATTATTTTCTTGCAAATGGCCCCCTGTGCTTAAATTTGTCCCCCTCAATTATAGAAAGCTTGAATTTTTTTTTTTTTTTTTTTTTATAAGAATAGAAAACTTGCAACTTGCTACCCTCCTTATGACTTTCGTAAGAAATACAACGGCAAAGTGTCACGACACACACGCGACTTTAAAAATTTTAAAAGCCTTATTTTACCCCTTTTAAGGTCAGAATCGACCTTCAAATGGATGACTCCTATTTGACCCGATTGTAGATCGATTTACCATTCGAGACAAAATTCATTATAAAACCCTAGCCACTTAATTTCATTGACATCACGAACAGATCTGGAACAGGCGTTCTCTTGAGTTATGGATGAAACATTATTTGGTTGTGGACTTGCATCAATAAGAGAGCATTTCAATGAAATTAAGTGGCTAGGCATTTCAATAAGAGAGCATTTTAAGGTGGCATGCTAAGAATTGTTTCTTTTCAATTTACAGGACAAATGATGCCATCAAGACATTCAACTCCCGTTGAAGCAAAGAATGTCCCTTAAAGATAAGCCTGATGCAAAAGACGGGGTGCGGATGGAATTATGAGGAAACTAAATGAATTCGAATTCAATAGATATATAAATGATCACCTTCCATGTCCAACCACCTAACCAGCGGCTTTGGAATCTGTCTGGAACTACATTTGTTAGTTGATCATCTTTTTCTGTAGGGTGAAAGAAAAGAAAAAATTTAAAAAAATAAGCATACATAACTAGTATTCCAGGAAAGAGACACGGAAAAAGATAGCAGAACCTCACCAGCATTTTCAGAACTCCAAACCTGACTAGAAGAGTTTACATTTGGTTGAGGCTGAAATGAAGTCAGACGCCCCATGGAAAAGCCGGATCTCTGCAAGCCAAGCGAGTATTATCTCTCCAACTCTCTCAATGTCTGTCTTACTAAACTAAAGTGAAAAATCTACCATACATAATAACTTCAAGCATAATTTCTCAAGGCAGGCCTAGGCCCAAAAATGTCCTAGGTTGGTCAAGGCTCACCCATATAACCATATCTACCATATGACATCAAGTCTAATTAAGTCAGGCGCAAACCTAAAGCCCCCATATGGATGCTTGTTACTTGACTTCACACTTGGATAAAGCCCATATTTACTTTTAAATCATTCAATCACATCATTTTTTAAAAAAATAAAATACAATGCCAATTGATTGATATTCTTTTTTGTTTCCCCTGGTAAGGAATTGATTACCATGCTTGTTCACGGACTCGGGGTTTGTGCCTTAGTGTCAAACCTTCCTAGATCCAAAATCCTAAAGTACAGGAACTTGGCTTGAAATGTCTCAGGTACATGAACGTAAACATGTCCTGCACACTCAAATACATTTCATGTTGGTAATGTATGATATTGTTGTTCTTTGAGAATATGCTCAATTATAATTTAAGTTACATGGAATATGGTGTAAAGGGGTTCTAACTTTGCTATCAAATTTGAGCTTTTCTTTTCTCTTTTTTTTTTTTTTTTCCCCAACATCATATGTAGAAGGCAGGGACATCCAATATAAGTTCATGTTTCAAAACATATCATATACCCATACCATATTATTTCATGTTGACATGGAAACATTGAGGGGAACATAAAAGTCCATGTATCACAACCTCTATCACATAATGGTCTTCTGTGTTAGATCATGTTGTTTAATCATTACAAAATAGATAGCATTTGGGATTTATGGATTTATGATTGACCACTTAAAACTACTTATGGCGATTGCATGATTCTAAATACTATGATAAAAATATATCATTTAGAAATTAAAATCTACATGATTTTAGCCTTTTTACCAATGCACATTTGCATAAAATTGATTTAGTTTAACGCAAATGTATTGATTGTAATGATTCAGTTAGATCTCTTAACTGATATGCAAACAAATACCCTTTTTCAATTTTTGACTAGGGTGTGTTGCATTCAAGGAATATTGAATAGTAAGATGTTTAATATATATTTCTACCATTCATGTAACTTGCTTCGCTCAGGCTCACGCCTTGAACTTAATCTCTAGGAGACAACGATGCCTTAATGCTCCTTGAACCTTTGGCAAGTATGATTTTAAGAAAATTTCAAACCTATGCATTTCTTTGGCCACCAAGTGGAGGGTGCAGATGGCGAAAACCATGTAATCTGAGAGGATACTAAACTTATAGTGCACCTATTTTTCACTGAACTGTTAAATATAAAAGATTCCATTTAACCAGAGAGAATGGTCCAATTTATTTTACCTCTGTTGTAGCTAGAACGTCGGAATTTGCAACAAATGAACACTGCAATATGGGATCATCATGACATGCCTCACCAAAGGTGGTCAAACCAAAAGCTGGATCATCAACTAGCTTGTTTGCCCGATTACCATCAAAAGATTCTAATGGCAAGTTATTTCTTACTTGCGTATTCATCTCCTGAGCATCTCTCACCTGTTGTTCCATACATATATCATCATAGCCAATTTCCATAGCCCCATGTCCTTCATATTTATAACTTTCGTCACATTCATAATGATTATACGAGGTGAAAGAATCTTTAACTTGAGATATTGAATCACAAGAACCCATATTATCAACACCAATAACTGATAACCCCACATCTTCAAATGCATCTGCCATTGTGGATTCATCCAAGTCTGATAGAAAATCAATCTCATCAATTTCCTCAGTTGGGCAACAGAGAGTCTCTTCCAAGCTCTCTAAGCGTGTTTGTTTCACCCGAAGAGCAACTTCAAGTAAAGCTCCAGCTGGCAAAATTTTTGTAGACGACCCATTCTTAACTATTTCATGTATGACCAGTGCTTCAGATGCTGCAATAGAGAGTTCAACTGCATCATTGATATCATCACTGATATCAGTAACTTTGAGATGCTTAACATTCTCTTCATTCTCTGTCACACAATCCTTGTCACCAGCAAGAGATTGACCACTATACTCAGATGTTTCCCGAAGAGAATTCAAAAGATGCAAATTTGCCACACTAGCATTATCATCCATTTTGACTTGGTTTTTATGCTCTTCTTGACCAGCTGGAGTTTGAGCTTGCTGCATCAGCAGAACATTGTTTGATTCAAGCTTCTCCGTTTGAGATGCATCCAAAGGTGAACTTGGCATGTTACCATCAACCGATAGCTGCAGATGAAAATGTATAACCTGTTGAATAGAAGTAACAGTTAGGCATAGATGGAGGCAATCTGATTAGATGGTAGAAACTAACTGTCCAATAAATATAAAGGAACAAAAGATGGTCTCACTCCAATAAAATAAAGCCAAAAGAAATCTCAACATGTAGTTTGTGCAGTTCAGCAACAAAGATTTCAAGATCAGCGAGAGTTACGGAGAAAGATTTGAGAGGAACCAACACCCTCAGGACTTCACAAAGTAGCTTTCATTGTCTCTTATTGATGACCTAGGAGCAAACAACAAAAAGGGAAAAATGCTACCAAAGTCGTACATTTCTTGTTACTCGTAAACAGGTAGTTACTAGTTAGGAAGGTTGTTTTGTTATTATTTTTTGATTCACCCGTTCAACTTTTTGACTCCACAAGTTAACAACTAGTGTGAGGAATAATTTCAAAACTATCCACAAAAAGAGGAATATGTGGAAATAATGTTAAATCATTTAAGTACAAAAGAAATCTTGGCTTTTGTTTGTCTAAATAAAAAGTCTGGAAAAATTTTTAATTTTAAGGATAATTCTGATTCGTTATATAGCACTACAAAAACCCTTTTCTTGCTCAGCAAAATAAAAAATTAATAAATTTTTTAAATAAAAAAAAAAAAAACTACTTCCAAGAATTATACGAGGATTACAATCAAATGCTAGTTGATGAAAAAAATAAACACTAATTTTTATTTTGTTGAAATATACATACATTTCTACATAATTGTGGAGCAAAATCCTCCACCAATCATGGTGATCTAGTCAATTTCCTTCCAACTATAAATATTTCTATATAACAGTGGAGCAAAATCCTCCACCAATCACGGTGTGGCTCTTTGTCCATGGATGTAGGCCTTAGTGCTGAACCATGTATATGTATGTGTTCTCCATCTTTCTCTCTTCCCTTTTCATATTTGCATTTCTTATTTCCGCATCAAAATTGAACATATTGCAATGAATAATGTTACTGTACTTCGCAAAGTGATGATTAATCAAAAGAATAAACGAACTTTCCCAAAAACACACAAACTTTTAATGATAAAAATATCAATAATCCTATACTTTGCGAAGTGATAATTAATTAAAAGAACAAACAAACTTTCCCAAGAGCATGGAAACTTTTAATTATAAGGATATCAATAATGATCTTCATAAATAAATTATGATTAAAATGAAAAAGAATATATATGTGAAATTTTATTGGAGATGGTACAACTCACAGTTTAACTAAGAATGCTATGTAGTTTGAACAATGCAGATCTATACGTACATACATGCAAAGATAATTCTGTTTTCCAGGATGTGTGCCTAAGAACTTACATTTTTGGAAGATGGGGAAAAACTAACTGCCGAATTGTCTTCCCCAGATAAGAATAAATGGCAAGTCTTGTATCTACCATCTTCACTTGATGATAGATTCACATCTTTCCCTGCTATGACGTTATCTTGATCCTGTCCATTGCAATTTGGATTTTCCATCAGTATAAATTTCACCCACTTAAAAACTTCTCCGGCAATCATTTAAAGCCCATGACAAAATGCAGCAAATGCCGTGTACAACTTTCTTTGTTAATAACAAAGCCATGATGCTATTAATGACCATTTCATATTCATCACTGCAAGATATACAATACTCAATATACTAAAGTAAAAAGGCTGCATCTTGGATACTCCTATTTATCTCATATGTTTGTCAATTTTTATCACACAAGCCACTACGTTACGTGCATCAAGCTCCGGTTCTGATCCACCAATACTAAATGAGACATTCAGAACTAAAATACATTGGAGACTTAGAGTCGAAACTTCTACCATGACCAAAAACTCATCATCATCATTATCAATTAGGTCAATAGAACTTAGTTTGGCAAATATCACAGATCAAAACTAGAGTTTTTACTTTTGTTTTTGTTTCTAGGTTTAGTTAGAGATTCAAACATGTGTCATGATTGGTGGCCTGTTGGACACGATTAAAGATGAAATTTAAGCTACATTCAGGGGTAAAAGCGCATCTTCTATACCAAGGGTATAAAATTTTATTTGATTTGATTCATAAAATTCCTTCTGATATGCATGCAAAGTATTCTGGAACTACCATATTGGAAACTTTCGAGGTACAAATCTACAGAGAGGTTCATTTGATCGAGTTATCGATCAAGCTCTTTGAATCTAGTTCAATCGAACGATCAAGCAATATGGAACTTCAGTTTTCTTTTCAAATTAAAACACTGAATTCCTATTCTCTCTACACTCTAATTTTCCTATATGCACACTACTCTAGGGCAGATTACACACATACTATATAGACATATGGAGCATTCACAGATTATATAGAGAGAGCATATTTGCAAGTTTTACATTGTATATTTTATTTTTAGCATTCATCATTTGCATCAGCTTGGTGGGTATTATTCAAGTGTGTTGACATCATTGCTACAGAGCCATAAACTTATCAAAAAATAATAATTTGCTACAGAGCTATAACAAGCTAATTCAACACCTGCATCAATATATTCATGAAAGATTAATTTGGACGACTAGTGGAGGAGACTAATCACTGGTTTGAGAAGGGGATTCGTGGAGCGAAGTTTGTTGACGAGCGGATTGTGTGCCTGGACACTCGTGGAGAGTTTGGTGGATTGATCTATGTCAAGAGGTAGAAACTAGTAACCTAGGTTGTAATCCCTTTCTCATGGTGGATTCAGTTTGTCTGGACTAAGTCCCATTATTTTTCCCAATTGGGATTTCCGCATAATAAAATTGTCTCCATCTTTTTATGCAATGTTGCTTTAAATTGTATTATTACTTGGTTCATTAATTGATGGATTATAAAGAGCTATTTATTTAGTTTTGATTTGAATCTATATTCTGTTTTTAGTTAAATTCAGAAAGTTGTTAGAATTAGTTAATCCAACCTACACAACCCATTCACACCCCCTCTGGGTCTAGATCGTGGACCTTGCACAACTCTCTGTCAGACTTAGGGTTACAATCTAACAATCTATTATCATCCTTGCCTTAATCCCTTATGAATGGAGTCGACCACATAAATTTTCTTTTTCTATTCTTTTCTGCTACACGACATTTCACCTATTAAGTTCAACTTTTTTAAAAGGAAAAAAATATATACATATCTGATTTTTAAACACCGATTAGCATGAATACTAGGGTTCATTGCTTAGCGTAATAGTAGGCTGATAAGCAAGAAGATGTGGGTTTGAGTCTGAAACCAACCACTTTATACAAAAATATTGTCAAATGTAAGATGTGTCACCAGTTTTCCCTTCACAGCACTCCACATTGGGGGACCATCACTAGGTATAACCATTTAGTCTGAATAAAACTAGTATATACTTGGAACAAAACAGAACTTTCTGATGATAAACAGTACTAACCATGTTATGTTATTTGTTTCGAATCATGATAATAATAGAAAGTATATAGTTTAAGATTCCCTCCCGGTAATCTTATCAGCTGACTGACGCATTTGTTACCAGATAATAACCCATTATCATGAAGCATTTCTCCAATAAACCGTAAAGATGAAATCATGTGTCATTAGTGAAAACCCAATTTTTTAAAAATTTAAGAAAGAAAAAAGGAAAACCTACATCTGAAGGGTGTCATAATCACACATGAGGAATATGAACTTGCTGATTTTGATGAAAGTTTAGCCTCCCACACATCATTTCTACCTCCAAATCCATTCCCACCGTGCACCATTTCATACCCTCCACAAACTTCTCCTGTATGACCACTAAAGTCTCCTCTTATAAGTAATTTATCTCTTTCAGGTATTTGTTGAATTAATTCATCCATATGTTGCCAAAACTATATTTTAAGTTGTTCATCTAGTTGGAAAAATATTCAATACCCCGGGGGTAACGGTTATGTAACACCCCCGGCCAATTAAAAGCTAAAACACCATATTTCCCTTGATTTAAGGAAACAACAAATTAAAATTGGGGTACTATATTCCCAGTAACCCCGGGGTATTGTATACTTTTTCCATCTAGTCCCTACATGGTGTGCATAAGCACTAATTATTTTAACAATTTTTCTCCCATTACAAACTATATTAATATTATCCTATCTCTTTTTCTAATAATACCTTCAACATATTATTTTAATTTTTTTTATCAAAAAGTATCCCTCCTCTATTTCTAAAACTATTTTTCCCGGTGTAATATGGTTCATTTCTTCTATTTTCCCTAGTTTTCTCTCCTACCCACGTAGTTTCTTGTAGGCATATTCTGATTTTACTATTTTACATCTAAATTACTGTAAGTAGATAGTTTGATTTGTAATTTTCACTTTCTTTTAATGGTATTGTTTATATCTTATAAGAAACAAAATTTATCTATAGGAATAGGAATATGACAAGAAGGACAAGGAATGCTTCATAAATGAAATATAGAATTTGAGCACTCCAATAGGAGTCACCACACCATTGAAGGATCTCTTATTTCTCTCCCTCCATAATCCCCACCACAAACAAAGGGACGCCACCCTCCAAGCATCTCAGGCCTGCCTCCCAACTATACCACCTCTCGGAGCCTCAACCATGCTCCTTGCAGACTCTATCATGACCCAATAAAGGACCTCAAAAAGAGCAAAAATCATGGCCCATCCGATCTTGTGGAGCATATTCTTCTTCTTTTTTATAAGCAAGATTATATATAAAGAAGCGTTAAAAAGGGGAACGCATCCCTCAAAAGCTACACAAGAAGAATCTAAAAAGTCCACTATCTCATCCAATGATTTACCTCATCATAAAGGGCAAGGTGGAATAAGATAACTTCAATGAGATCTGAAACAGAAACAATTCCAAAATCTAACTACACAAGGCTACTAGGATGGGGTCACTGCTGTTGAGTCAGCATTATGCTCAAAAAGTTCAAGTACGCAGGTTATGGTTATTATTAGAAAACCTTAGACACATATATCTCTTGATTGCAGAAGAGCTAACTTAGCTTCAGTTTTTTAAACGTGAGTATGGATTGGATAGCAAATGGTAAGTAAAGAAGTTCAGAAGAAAGATATCAACCTCGAACCATTGCCCTAAAGGAGTTTCTCCTTCCTTGATGTGCTCGTCGAATGGTTCGGCATGGTTCTGCTGAAGCCAAGCAGGAAGCCAGGCTACATCCTGTAATAACAAAATATATGTCATCACCATTAATTCACAAGTATTGCTTTGAGCAAAAATTCATTAAGCTACAAGTCATCGACTTCATAAAATATATTCATGTCCGCATTGTTTACATTTGTTTCCTTCCCAGTAATCTTGAAAATAGAAATCACATATTATATACTACAGTAATGCAGTTTTTCTCACTTCCGTTTACTACAAAAATAGAAACTGTTTTATTATCCGTAGTAGCTATCCAGTTCTCTAAACAAGTCCAAAGAAATACTAAGAGCGTGTTTGGATTACATAAAATTTAAATTGCCCCGAATGTGTGCGTGTGTATATATATATAAGAACAAAATTGAACTATCCATTGGGTTTCAAAATAAATTTAAGAAATTGGGTATTTATTTTTAATGAGTAAGGTATGAAGAGAGAGATTTTTTTTCCGTTTTAATTTGTGTGATTAAGATTGTTGTTATGACGATTGTGAAAGATGGAGAGAGAATTTACTTACCTCTGAGAACTGAGGATGACGAAACCCTAATAGGGTCCCCATTGAAGGAAGTAGAGACCGTTCCAAGCATAAACCTCAAGCTCAAGCACCAGAATGTTGGTTGTGCCTTCATTAAGGGAGGGAATCTTCGCGCCAAAACCACTTTAGGGTTTTCTGAATTCGCAAACAGGGTGTGGTTAAAATGTATAAGGTAAAATTGGGAAAATAAAACCTTAGGGCTCGTTGGAAGTAAAAAATAGTTAATTACAAAAAGTCTTCTGAGTTAGGAGAAAAGTTTTACATTTACCTAGAAAATGAAATTGGGAATTATTTAGTGGCCGTTTTGGGGAGCTTCTGAAGGAAACCTTTAAAAGTCCTTCCAAGCTTTAAAAGTATTTTTTTTTGTATAAAAAATTTGATATTTGGTTACTCATATTCCATTTTACAGAAATAACAAAATGTCGCTTTTAAACCTTCTTTAGGAAGCTAAATATTTTTTTAAAAAAGAAAGGTAAATATGCTATTTTACTAATTTGTCAAAGTATTTTTCATAAATTGACAACATTATTATATATTCTCTTTTTGTCCTTCGTTCCTCCACCACCACCACAATCACCAGGCACGGACCTAGCATAGGACCAGTGGGGGCGGATACCCCCACTAAATTTTTTATTTTCATTTTATACCTCAAATTTTTTAGAATTTATGAAGATGCCCCTATTAAAATTATAATTCGCCCCCATTGGATTTTTTTTTTTTTGCATTTTATACTTCAAATTTTTGAGAATTTTTGAAGATGCTCCCAATAATATTACAATTCACCCATTTTTTTATTTTATATTTTATACTTTAAATTTTTAAAAATCTATGAAGAAAACTCCATTGAAACTACAAAAATAGACCCATTATATAAATTTGCCCCCATAAATTAAAAGAGCGCCCCCCTCACAAACTTTTCTGGGTTCGTTACTGACTATCACCTTCCACCTCTATTGATAGGGAAAAATAAACCTAACCTACCTTGACCTAATGATAGAGGCAACTAAGTGTTGACCAGCCACCAGCACTCTTCGACTTTCGAACGACAATATTTCCATTAGATAAGAATGATCATATTTCATTGTTAAGGATAATGAAATATGGCGTGGTTCAACAGGGTAAGGATAACCTTGGCACAATTTGAGGAAGTCAAATGATTAAATCATATCACTGACAAATCTGCCAACAAAAAGATCTCCTCTGATCTCGCACAAGCAGGTGATAAGGGAGACCTCAACCATTGACATCAGGGGAACCAATTTGATTCCAATCGACAACCATAAATAGGGCACCCAGCTGTTAAAGAAGGTACGGGAAAAAATCCCTAAACAGAAAATACATAATTATTATGTGATACAATTACAAGTACTAACTTGATCGTTGGAGGGTCCTTGGCCGGCACTCCACCGGTGCGACGTTTCTTTGTTTTGCAGGTAAACATCGTCGTTCCGAGACGTGAGGATTTTCGCATCAACAGCTGGCGCCGTCTGTGGGAACAATTAGCTCTCTGAAGAAATAATAATCCTGACACGACTTGGCTTGAACGGCAAGATGAAAGTTTCCGATAATGGAAACCAACCCAAAGTCATCAGTTGACAACGAGTTTCCATGTTTTTATATAAGGACATGTCTCTACATCATGATTACCCGTCCATCATATTGGGGGCAAAACGGTGGGTTGCATGATGCCACCCAATGTACAATGACAATAATCAAAATTTGGCCCGTTGACCTAGGCAGTCCAATGTGGTGTTTTCCATCTAGCGATGCTTGGTCCCCTCACTACTGAGGTTTGGTCATCTAAGACCAAACTCTATCTCATATCCGGTAGAAGCCAATTACCAAGGCTTGAACGTTGAAGACTTAGGCCTTGTCCTTCTGCGCTTACATAAATGAGTAGGTCTCCACCCATCAAGAAGATCACTACCAACAAGGGGGTCTCTACCTACTAGTAAAGCCTCTACCACTGAGGATGTCTCTAGCAACGGAATCTCATTACTCCGTCCATTCATGCAATCAGGGTGGCTTTCTACACCCAAGAATGTATCGAGGCCTTCAGGTCTAAGGAGGTCCAATGTCCCTCAAGGTTCCACGCGCCAATGAGGTCTGTATTCCCAAGGAGGTTCCTAAGTTAAGGGCGATCATTGGACCCAACGATATACTGGCCACCAGACCATCATCTGTCAATCGTTGGGTATCACGCCCCTATCTACCAGGCATCAAGCCAGTCGCTGGACACTAAGCCTCCACCTACCAAACGACAGTCGTCACCTCTCTACCCTTACAGGAATTGCCTATCGACTTCAAATTATGCAGAATTTTGGATTGATAATCCATTGCAGGTTAATTTTCAGTAATTATTTCTAACATAATCTAATATTTTTAGACAACTGTAAATTGTTGAAGCACCAGGAACCCCATCCGCTGTATAAAAGTCTATAAAACGGGTCATCACCCAAGATCCCACTATCGGGGGGCAGAATAGTGGATCACATGATATCAATCGTCGATCTACATATGATGACAAGGTTTAAAAGATTAACGTACCAACCTTGGTACATCGAGCTAGTCGGGTTTCTAGTCTCTCTCCTTTAGCAACCCCTCGGGGGCACTAGTCGTCGAAGACTGGTGCCCAATCCTTCGAAACCATAACCTTGTAAGTGTCTACACACCAAGAAGGACTCCAAGTCCAGTGAAATTTCTACAATCAATGAGTCCACCATGTTCAAGGTGGTCCCATGAGGTTTTAACCATCAAGCAATGATGGTATTTTCTATCAGGAACCTAGCTTAGTCACATTTGACGGGTCACTACCGCCATAGCCACAAAGCAAGGCAAGCATAAAGGATAAGTCCACGAAAGTGAAAAACTCTGACTCCCTTATTAAAGGGTAAGCATAAAAAGCTTGGGCAAAATATCCCCTTATTAAAGGGGCGAGCTGGGTAAAGCTCGTAAAAAATAACCCTTCATTAAAAGGGCGGGCTGAGTGAAGCTCGAAATTACTATTTCCCTTAACAATAGGGCATGTTGGGTGACGTTTGAACATATTACAAACCCCTTACCAAAGGAGTAAGAACGACTATTTCCCTTATTAAAAGGTCGAGACATCAATGGTCAAACAGATCTAAATACGACTCTAGAAAGAGAAAATAGTTCCAACACCAAAAGTTAGATCATAAGGGTATAACCTTTGGTTATCATAAATCAAGGCTTGGTTATCCAAAACCAAGGCTTAGTCAACCAAGATTAAGAATTGATTGCCGAAAGTCTACAAAGGCTCGGTCATCCAAGATCAGTGCCTGGTCACCCCAAGTCTGGTCATCAGAGACCAAGACCAGGACCTAACTGACAAAAGTATGCTCATCAGAGATCAGGACTTAACTTACAAAGGTCAGGTCAAAAAACGATCCTTTGCCTCACGTGTTATACCTATGTGATAATTAATTCCCTTACTAAAGGGACAAGCTGAGTGTAGCTGGTAAAACCTAATTCCCTTACTAAAGGGACGAGCTTAGTGAAGCTCGTAAAACATAATTCCCTTACTAAAGGGACGAGCTAAGTGAAGTTCGTAAAACCTACTTCCCTTACTAAAGGGATGAGCTGAGTGAAGCTCGTAAAATTTATTCCCTTGCTAAAGGGATGGGCTGACTGAAACCCATAAAGTTTACAACTAGTATATTGGAGTTTCAAAAGAAAAATCCAGTTTTACATCACTAAGAGTCATTGATCATGGGTTTGAATCCATGTCCTTCTAAAACAGAATCTTGATTTGGTATCTGTATTAATTCCACTATTGGGAAGAGTACCCAGGGGAACATTACCCAAGGGAAAAGTACCCAAGGGAAAGATTACCAAAAGGGAACAGTACCCAAGGGACCATTACCCAAGGGAAAGATTACCCAAGGAAAAAGTACCCAAAGGGAACAATACCCAAGGGACCATTACCCAAGGGAAGAGTACCTAAGGGAAAGAGTACCCAAAGGAATATTACCCAGGGCAAAAAAATAAATAATAAATAAATAATTACTATTCACGTGAACAGTAACCCCGCGAGTACTATTCCCGAGGGAACAGTGCCCAGGGCAAAAAAAAAAAAAAAAAAACTGTTCATGTGAACAGTAACCAGCAGGCACTATTCCCGAGGGAACAGTGCTGGGGGCAAAAAAAAAATAAAATTCACATTCCCAAAGCTAGACGAGCAAGCTTGGGAATGGGGGGCAACTGATAGGGAAAAATAAACCTAACATACCTTAACCTAATGATAGAGGCAACTAAGTGTTGACCAGCCGCCAGCACTCTTCGACTTTCAAACGACGATATTTCCATTGGATACGAATGATCATATTTCATTATCAAGGATAATGAAATATGACGTGGTTCAACAGGGTAAGGATAACCTTGGCACAATTTGAGGAAGTCAAAGGATTAAATCATATCACCGACAAATCTGGCAACAAACAGATCTCATCTGATCTCGCACAAGCGGATGATAAGGGAGACCTCAACCATCGACATCAGGGGAACCAATTTGATTCCAATCGACAGCCATAAATAGGGCACCCAGCCGTTAAAGAAGGTACGGGAAATAACCCCTAAACAGAAAATACATAATTATTATGTGATAAGATTACAAGTACTAATTTGATCGTCGGAGAGTCCTCGACCGACACCCCACCGGTGCCATTCAAGGTGACGTTTCTTTGTTTTGTAAATAAACGTCGTCGTTCCGAGTCGCGAAGATTTTCGCATCAACATCTACCATTGTCACCCGTGTTCTATAACTATTGCCTTCATACTTTCTGCTCAAAGCTTGAAATAATTGTCAAGGATAAGGGATAATATTATCAAGAAAAATAAAATTTAAGTTTTTAAAATTATTGTCACCCTCGTACTTTCAGCCCTTGCTTCTTTAATCCACTAATACAGTCTTGACATCTCCGCTATGTCCTTACGAAACATTCATGTAATTATGTGTAGTGGCCCAAAACACATTGAAACTTAGGATTTGAGCGATCCTTTCTCGTATTATCTTGTGCGATCCTCGGTGAGATCTTGTGTTAGGGATTGTTTGGCAACCGTTTTTGCTTCGACCTAAAACAGAAGCAATATTTATGCTTTAGAGTGTATTCAATATTATTTCGAAGCTTGTTTGGTAATGTAAATTTGCTGCAAAATTAT